AACAACATTTTCGCTAAGGAAAAAGTTGTTTCAAATCACCTCCCGAACCACCTCCTTCAAGGTGTTACAACATTTTTGGGACACCCTGTATATTTATATAATATATTTTTATTTATATAATATCTTCTCTATATAATATACTATCTATATGCTCAAAGAGATAGACTTGATCGCATCTCTGCTCAGAATACGTTTATATTTGTAAAACCAGGGTTTAAATTTTAATTCTTTTTTTCCCCATTGTTCTCATTGTCACCGCTAGATGACGAGTTGATGTAACCACTGGCGCAATCGGTGGCAAAATGCCCAAGTTTGTAGTGAAAATAGTTTGTACTATTCCCGCTAGATAACGTGGCACCATCGGTGGCCAAATGCCTAAGTTTGTAGTAAAGTTAGTTCTTTATTCTTGACGCTAGATGGCGATAGTAAAAATATATAAATGGTGTCATCTAGCATTAAAAATAAGAACTATTCGAGGACGAACTTGAGCGTTTTTCCGATAGATGCGGTAGTTAATTTCAAAAATTAGTTTGGTCTTTTCAACGCTAGATGGCGTCGATTCTAACAATTAGTGGCGCCATCTGCGCCTAAACGTCCGAGTTAGCCAAAGTTACCCTGCTTTACCTTAACCTTCGTGGTGTACTCTTCGAGGTTAGCCACGAGATTCAGTGTTTCTTAATCATAAATTTGTAGAATATGAAAGCAAACAAAATTGGTTACAAAAATGATTCCATTCAAGCGTATTGTTACAGAACAACTAAAACGACGCAGTAATTCAGTAATATCACCATGTTTGAGGTTCTCGTTATTTCATTACATTTAAAAATTCTGTAATCCTAAAAGGATCCTTTAAAAGTGATTACATCAACTTATCTTTTTGGCATTTAATTTCCAGACAATTAAAGCCTACGGTAACATTTGGTCACAATGCAAGGGAAAAAAGTGATAAGAGCAACCTGTCGATATCCTCGTTATTCCGACCTGTTCCTGTCAAAACAGATCCAAACGATCTAAACGTTGGTGCTGAGTTAACTGGTTTTTTGAAGAAAACCGACATTATCAAAGTTTTGTCCACTTTTGGGCACAAGGAGTCGGTCAAAGATTTAGCTTTAAAATATGGCTTGGATAGTAACTATCGTTAATAATGTTCTTCATATTAAAACATTAGATTGTAATATTTTATCTCACGCTAACTTTTTTTCCAGAGACTCTTATAACCACGGCATTGAGTTCTTTTCGATCTTATTGTCTACAAAACAATTCTCTACCTGTAGATCTTCATGTTGTTCTAAATGACATAATTCACGGAGCTGGAAATATTACAGATATATTTCCTTACTTTATACGTTTTACTAAACAATTGTATCCACACATCGAGTGTCTAGACGATCTTAAGAAAATTAGCGATCTCAGGCATCCACCTACTTGGTATCTATCAACATTAAATAGAAACTTGTCACCTTCTCGTGATCCATTGATCATATGTAAATATCATTTCTTGAATTCTGTTATGCAAAGGTATACTCAAGCAAGGGCCAAAACCAGAAAAATTATATTTCATGCTGGACCTACAAATAGTGGTAAAACCTATCATGCTTTGCAAAGGTTTATGAACGCAAAATCGGGCGTTTATTGTGGACCACTCAAACTATTAGCAGTCGAAGTATTTAACAAGTGCAACACGATGGTTAGTATCGTAGATGAAATTATTGTTGAACTACTTTCGTCACGTTAAATTTAAATAATTTCAGGGTACACCTTGTGACTTAATAACAGGGGAAGAAAGGAGTTATGCAAAAAATGAAATGTCTCCTGCAAATCATGTTGCATGTTCTGTAGAGATGGTAAATGTACAAAATGTTTGTAAGTATTGTTTATTTAAGGTGTGCGTTTATAAATAAATATAATTTGTGTGATTAACGTTTAATGAATTTTGTAGTCGAAGTAGCTGTAATAGATGAAATCCAATTAGTACGCGATCCGAGTAGAGGATGGGCATGGACGAGAGCTCTTCTGGGCCTTGTTGCGGACGAAATACATTTATGCGGCGAAGTTGCTGCTATACCTATAGTGAGTTTTATAATCTTGAGTCCATGAACTATTTATTAATATAGACTTACAACGGATTTATTATAACAGATAGAATCTATATGTGCGACAACGGGAGAAACGGTAGAAGTGCACACGTATAAACGGCTGACCGATCTCGTTATAGAAGACAAAGCACTATATAGCTTAAGCAATGTACAGGCAGGAGATTGCATAGTTTGTTTTAATAAAAATGATATATTTACTGTGTCGCAAACAATCGAACAAATGGGAAAGCAGGTAGCAGTGATATATGGTAGTTTGCCACCAGGTACAAAGCTTGCACAAGCGGCCAAGTTTAACGATCCAAAGAATCCGTGCAAAATCTTAGTAGCTACCAATGCGATAGGAATGGGCCTTAATTTGTAAGTTAACGATTATACATTTTCTTTATTTACATAGTAATATTTTAATATTTTTCCAGACACATTCGTAGAATTATATTTTATTCTGTTTTTCAACCAATTGTTAACGAAAAAGGAGAGAAAGAAATAGACACGATTTCGGTATCAACCGCGCTACAAATAGCGGGACGCGCCGGTCGCTACCAAACCCAATGGACAACAGTAAATAGTTTTCCCTTTATTAAAATAAGGATAAACTTATAATAACTGTACATGCAAGTTAATATCACTACATATCTATGTTATATTGTAGGGTTATGTTACAACTTTTAGGTCTGAGGATCTTCCTGTCTTACAAAAATTATTAGTACAGACTCCAGAGAAAATACAACAGGCTGGACTTCATCCCACTGCTGATCAAATAGAGTTATATGCTTATTACCTGCCAGACACAACGCTATCGAATCTTATTGTAATGTTCATTTAATTCGTATTCGCGGTCTATTGGAATTTACAGTATAATTCTTTTCTTTCAGAATATTTTTGTCGCCCTGTCCGAAGTCGACGACTCGCTTTACTTCATTTGCAATTTAGACGATTTTAAATTTCTCGCTGACATAATAGAACATGTACCGTTATCTCTTCGTATGCGATATGTGTTTTGTTGTGCGCCCATTAATAGAAAAAGTCCGTTTGTATGCAGCATGTTCTTAAAGGTAAATACGAAACATTTACATTGTTCTTTACCATATCTTATATATGACAAATGTTCTAATTCGTAATACAGTTTGCCCGGCAATGTAGCAGAAACAATAAAATAACTTTTGGTTGGTTGGCTGATCAAATTAAATGGCCGCCAAAAACACCAACAACTATAAATGATCTTGTGCACTTGGAAGCAGTATTCGATGTTATGGATATTTATCTTTGGTTTAGGTAAGTGGTTATGATGGTGATATGATAATTTTGTTTCTTGTTTGGTACACAAAATTCATAACCCCATTTGTTCTTTGTGAAGTTATCGGTTTACAGATATATTTCCTGACGGCATTCAGATTCGAGAGAAACAAAGACAATTGGACAAAATCATCGAAACAGGAATTCAGGAATTGAAAATATCGTTCCAGACATCTCAAAAAAGTATACTTCGTTTGAAAATATAACATATTTTGTATAACAGATAATATAGACGTATAACGATACTCAATTCTCTTGAATTTCAGGTAAGAAATATGACAAAACAGAGCAAACTAAGACTGATACATCGACAGAAAGAAATGGTAATTTGTTTAATTTTGAAAATACTACTATTTAATGGCTCTATACAGATTTTATTACATCACGTATTGCAGATATTCGATCACCGAAATATGAGTGGAAAGGAAACGTAACTAATTCTCTGATATCTCAAGGTCTTTTAACGCGAAAGTTAGTACATCAATTACAAATGGAATGGTCTCAGGTAAAAGAGTAAAATTGAATGAACATTGAACAATTTCCTGTTTCTTTTTTTTTTAATATAGTTCCATAATTTTATACATTATTTTTGGTCATTTTAGAATGAAAAATCGAGGAATGAGTATTCAGATAATTTAAAAAAAGAAGAAAGTAATTTTAGACCACAGAAAAAGCGTTGATAATTGTTTAGTGTTGTAATTTTTTTCTGTATGAATTAAATCAATATTACAAATGTATATAATTTTTATATTTGGATAGCCCAATTTAAAGTATAAATTGTATAAATCCAAATTAATAAAATTAAAGAAATTTTTTATGAATACGTTCTACTTTATCCTCGTACTTAAAATAATTAATGTTTCTTTAGTAAAAATCCATAATAATTGCGGTATCTATTGCAATTTATTGTACTTGTTGTACAAAGTGTAGTTGGGGATCATATTTATTATCGGTTTTATTTAAAATTATTTATTCCTTGTTTAATTTTATAAATTCGTATCTACGATCGTGTTTTCTTGTACATTTGGATTTTTGGCGACGTGAATGTATTTTTTGTTTCTTCTTCGTAAATGTAGGAAGATTGCAAGAAAAAGAATTAGAACTTTTTGATCTATGTTGTAATTTATGAGCTAAAGTAATGCATCTTGTACATCTTAACGAATCATTATTCACTATTAATGGACACGAAATATGTCTCCATTTTATGCCATCTTTGTAAGCTACTTTTATGTTGGATACTTTTCTAAACACTCTGGTATTACGTATGCCTAATTGAAAAATAAAAAAAATGTTTAATATTTGTTGAATATCTTCACAGAAAAATAAGAAAAAGTATACGTACCTTGACAAATAGTTCTTTGATCGAACTCGTCGATAAGTTCTTCTACATCTAATAAATTTTGTACTTTTAAATGTTTTCCTTCTCTTATCAAATTATGAATGAGCGGATTAATTTCTCTATTTACGGCAACACAGTGCAATACCATATCGCTCTTTATAAAAACTTGTTTTTCCGTGAAAGGCATCCCATTTTTTGTCATTGCCATGAAAAGATACACTATCGTCGTAACATCGCCTTTCGAAGTTACTAAACAAGACCAACCAGGCGGGAGTAGTAATTCTGTACATACTTCGAGTAAATCTTCGAATAAAATTTCAATGTCTTCGATATCCTTATACATAGAATAGCATTTGTTTAACTGATCATAACTAACATCCTTTACTATTTGGCGTTTCGCGTACAAATGCTCTATTTCTAGAAAGCTATTAAACACCGCCTTCTCTTTAGAATTAGAATCTTCCCTTGCGGGTCTTTGATCCCTGTCTTCTTCGGAAACATCGAAAACTTTAGAGGCAGATTCTAATACTTTTTTAGACACAGACAAGTAATTATGATCTTTGCATGTCTGAGCTTGTACTTCCTTTTTAATTTCAAAATTCGCATCCTCCGTCGAAACTTGATGGGGAAGAATGGTTTCCTCTATTTCATATACCTGTTTGTTTTGTTTCGTTTGCTTTAAGTTTTTCTCAAGGCATTCTTGAACTCTAGACTCTTCGTGCGTCTTACTCGCGTTCGAGTCATTTTCTGGCATTTCCAACTTAATAAAAGAGATTCTATTCGAATTATATTCGTAATCATCTAATTTATGAAATAGTTCTCGACGAGGTGTAGTTTTACGATTCTCGTCGCAATTTATTTGTGACTTTTCAGTTTTAGATTTGAGATGATCTCTTTTTTTTTCATCCAACGAACTTATCTTTCTTATCTTGCATGGCGAATAATACTTTATGTTTATATCAGGATCGTAAGGTTCTTGCTTGATTGTTTGCACGGTTCCTTCTACATGATAGTTGCTAGGCACTGCTCCTGGACGTAATCTACATTTTTTATATTTAATCTGTGGAAATGTTAGAATTATAAGAAGAAGGGGAACTATAAAATACTATCGGGATTAAAAATCCGTAAATGGTAGAATTATCAATTTTTATCGATTATTAATTTTATATTAAGTGGTATTGGATCTTACAGTTATAACATGTGGTGGCACTCCGCTAACCCAATGTGTAATGATATCATCTTCGTTGAAGTGTTTGCTACAAACATATGTATCATCTGTGACAGCGTAATTCTCTATGGAAATTACATTTTGCCATTTTTTACGTGTCTCTGGATCCTTTGGCGCCGAGAAAAAGCTATAAGTATTCTTGTAGTTGGTTTCTTTACATATTACACACTTACGCGTCATAATGACACTATAAAATGTATTTTCAGCGTCGTTTCACTCGAAATGTTCAAATTTCGTTATCACATTCTGTATTACATTATTTTATTGGTTTTTTAAAATACGTAACATGTGTTACGTTATAAACCAACTGTCTTTATCAGTTAATGTATGTTAAGAACAATAAATCGTCAAAAACCGTACAGGTTATGACGTCTTCGTACACATTCGCAATAACGAGTAGCGTACTTATTTTGTAGTTTCAATTAATGTATTATCTTTGCATAGAATCCTTCGATCAACGAAATACGTTGAATTCTGTGCATATTAGGTAGCACAAAACTTTTAGTCCAATGTTTTGAAGTAATCGTTCCGTCATACATTAACAATATCCACTAATGCAAGATGTTAACGCTGGTAGTTAACTTCGCAGGATATTATGTATAATCAGCGATTCATTTTTCGAGAGAAAATTATCAACGCTAAGTGGTTTAAATTATTTTTAACTTATTATTTATTTTGATCTTATACTTTTATGTTGATGTGACTATCCGATGATGTCCAGCCTGGACAGTCCAGGACGCATCACCAGAGGGCTGAGAACATCACATCAAATAATTCTTGATATATATGTATACAATCAGCTGAATATTTCGGTATATATTCGAATATCATTTTTTTATATAATATTCCAGTGGTTATTCCTCAAGTTTCTGATCCATATCGAAATGCTTAGAAAATGCTTTCTAAATATTTTTGCTAGTCTTTCCTCTACCGAGATACTTCTCTGCAGTTGGAAACATAGGATTCTAGTTTCTCTTTAACAAAATAAAAATGATATAAGTTTAAAGGAGAGTAATGTGAATGTCACATAATTTTAATCGAATATCCAGATATTCGATCGGTGTACAAGATATTTCAGTGATTATAGTATAATATGCTGATTATATTCGAGTTTATCAAGCGAATTTAAATTTAAATTAAATAATAATAATTATTATTATTATTTCATTTCATTTCATTAAAATAATGTAACCACACAGAGCAATATGTTAATATGTTCATGTAACGTATATGCTATATAAACCATATTCGGTTTAAAAGCAATAAATATACTTATATACTTAAAATATATTAGGTTGTCCCAAAAGTTTCTTTCGTTTCATTAATAAGTAATACATGCACAATATTTTATGTTTTATGTTACATTACTGAATTATGCACGATTCATTTTGCTCCATTACTGTTACAACATGAATATCTATGAAATTAGATTGTCTATTTATATGAATACGACCACATAAAATAATTGAGTGCAACTCACGAAAGAAACTTTCGTGACAATCTATAATTAATATATATACTTAATATATGTATATGTGTAATATATTTAATATATATATATATACAGGGTGTCCCAAAAATGTTGTAACACCTTGAAAGAGGTGGTTCAGGAGGTGATTTCAAATAACTTTTTCCTTAGCGAAAATGTTGTCCGGACTTCGTTAAGGAGATATTAACAGAAAACGTGGACCAATCAGAGCGTGCGTATACCGTTGGAGCAGCCGCGGTAGCGTATGAGCGCAGCCGCCTATCGCGTAGCCTACGCTCCACCGGCATACTCGCGCTCTGATTGGTCAGTGTTTTCCGTTAATATCTCCTCAACGAAGACTCGAACAACATTTTTGCTAAGGAAAAAGTTATTTGAAATCACCTCCTGAACCACCTCTTTCAAGGTGTTACAACATTTTTGGGACACCTTGTATATATATCGTCTTATGTATAGTATTTATCGTTCGTCGTAAAACTAATTAAAAAAATTGAAGGGCCAACTTCCAGAGGCCATTGTTTAATTTGTAAATTACAGAGTGCGCTGCGATAGTCGCGAACTAGGAGCTGTGTTACGAACTTGCGTAAAACGATCTGCTATAAAAGATCAATTCTGTTAGTTTTACTGTTTGTTAGATCAATTCTCAACGATACAGTGCAATAATAAGTTACAACCTCTGTTTTTAGTAAAGTCCAAGACATCTGTTCAGTGTGTAGATCGATAAATGCAGATAAATGTTATGTGCGTCGTAACAAGATCGAAGGAACAATTCAATCGGCGAAGAAAACTGCTCAGTCGGTTCATCAGCCAATCAGCATCCTTCCCGCCAAATCGCTATCCAATCACGTCGAAACGAAAGCATCCATGGCCGAGGGGTAAGCATTTTCACGTAACTTGAAATAGAAATTTATCGATAATTTGAAAGGTTATTCAACGTTATTTAGTTTCTATATTCCTGAATAGAGTTTAATAAATGTAAATAGTGGACGTGCAACGTCGTGCACGTTCATTAAAATGTCTAACTCAGCGTGACGAGAATAGTACGACACAGTAAGACACAGAATTAATACATTTTTCGTGTTTCGATCATTAATCGTAAGAATTCGAACGTTACTTAATAATTCGTAAACGCTAGTTAATGTAAGGTTAATGATAGGCTAATAACGAAAAAATAGTTTCTTACAGATTACAGGATTATCACCTCATAATTTCAATGCATAAGTATACTTTGCGCGTCTAAAATAAAAATAAAAGAAAGGCAATGGCAATAAATTAGTCTACGATAGACACAGGGCAGTAGTTTCTGTCCAATGCACTTTCGTGACCGCAAACAGTTCGTAAATCCGGCATTTTCTCGGATCACTTTCCCACGAAATTACTGTCCATCTCGCGTTCTCGAGTTCGTGCTGGTCAAACCCTTTTTTCTTTGAGCCACGTTTAAATATCTAGACAATCGCCGCTTCGCCTGACCGAAACATTTTCTAAGAACGTACATAATAGCGGAGTGAAAAGAACCTAACCTCTCACTTGCCAGATCGAGGAACGAGAAAGCGTTGAAAAAGAACGAAAGTTAAGCCAGCTAATCATTACGGCTGCTCGACATTGAAAGTAAAGCCACGAAAATTGCGTAATACTATGCGGGGACGGGGGAGGGTGGGGTAGGGGGGGGGGGGTGGACGATCAATCGGATTCAATTGCGTTTCGAATCCGCGAATGAAACGTTACTCGGGTCGGTATGGTAAAATTATGGTTCAACGTATTTACGTTTTTCGGTCTATAAGTTCAAACCGCAATTGTTTTTTGACGAAGTCGAAAGTTTTTTGAAGTTTCTCTGAAACAAATGCAGCAATAATTGCTCTCCCTGAACTCGTGCGAAATTTCCCTGTTTATCATTATTTCCCTGTTCTCGGTTGATAACAACACCGGTGAAAGTCCGAAAGTATGCAATCGATGGCATGATAATGTGGCGTTAAAATCCTTCATATTACGCTCGCCTTGAATTCAGGGTAAGAAGAGTGCAGCCTTGATACACCTTGGAAAATTACGCTACGATTCACTCGGTTTCACAGACGCTCTACTTTTGTTAGCGGCCGCTTAACCGTAGTTTACATACATAAAACGAACTAAAATCTCAAGAAAGTGTACGTTTACCGTGAAAAAATTCGGTGAAATTTAGAAACTCTTGTAACCCTTTTTTTTTCGTTTAAAGATTAAGTTCGAATAGTTCGTCTCTCGAAGTGGCATCCTTTATTTGAAATTTTCCATTTCCACGCGGTACGGGAATTTTCGAGATCCGTAGCCACGGTCGTGCATCGTGAGAAAGTGCTCTCCGAAGAATGCGAATCACAAGAAAACAGGGGACGATTAGTTTGCACGCAATCTATCCATTTAAGGTTGCACAACTTAAAAAGGCTGGTAATTTGTCAGGGAACAAAGCCGGCACTTAACCGTCACGATAAGCGTGTATTTACTTGGGCACCGTCGAAATTGCGAATGCATTTTTACATTGAAAATTGCGAGATCCGTCGCGGACGGGATATTGCGGCCAGTGCCGGATTTACGTTTTAAGGGTCCCGGGAATAATAAAGTAGTAGAGGACCCTTTAAGTCAGTGATTGGATATATGTATACATATATACATACACATATATACCTACATGAAATATAAATACACACTATTTATACAGTGAAAACATTAAATTTACTATTCAAATTATTTATTTATAGTTAATAAAATAGTTTCCTTTTTACATTTTATGTCTGCAAAATCCATTATTAAATCGTTAAACTCTAAAGATCTTAACAAACCATTTTCTATAAATAAAGAGGCCAGAGAGGATAATCCTTCATTTAATATCGTAGACCGATGAAAATCTGTATCAACATATTCAAATTCTTCGAGAATCGATTTATTATTAATTGCCACGTTACGAATTGCCAAATTACTTTACATGACCACAGAATGTTTTCACTGAGAAGTTTTCGTACAATTTTACCGAGAAAAATATGATGCCAAGCCCCCTTAGCCTTACGGTAAATCCGGCACTGATTGCGGGCCTAATGACGGAAAGAATAGTACAATTAGAAGTCGCAACAATTTTTTTTCCTCCTACGTTCTCGTTCTCAACACCGTGGAGGTATTTTTTAATGAAAATTTCGTAATTCATCAACAAAAGAAAAGAGTGGGAGAGAGTCGAACCGTTCGGGTACTTTGTAAGATAGTTTAACACGCCGGCGTGTACCACCGGTAGCTCACGCTCGCGTGCCTATCAAACGGTGTGTACCGTCGCACCGTCCCATGGCGAGGAACACAAATAACATCGCCGGCTTGAATGTGTTAAAGTCCACTCTTTTAAAGTAGACTCTTTTACTATTCGATACTACTATTCAGTAATGTAATTATATCTTTCTGCTCTGAATGGAAGGAAATCCATATATGTCCCATCGGGCGGCGTGTACCACCGGCGGCTCACGCTCGCGTGCCTATCAAATGGCGTGTACCATCGCGCCGCCCCACAAATAGCAGCGCCTCGGACGTGAACGCGCTAATTTCCTTAGAATTGATTGGTAATAAGATTCCGAGAAGTAGCGAACGATTACGTTGGAATGAAACGTCACGGTCGGGCAAATAATTGTAGATCGCGGGGTCCATCGATTCCGAGAGAACTGTCGCAATTCAGGAAACGACGCTCGCACCAAGCCCGAACGATATTTAACGCGGGTGAAACTATTTGCAACGTTCATTTCGCGGTGGGCCATTGTTCTATTTGGTTGCGTATCGATCGCGCGAAGCTCGAAATTTCTGACGATCGTTTTCCTCGCAGTATTTATTAGACGGGAGCGGGGATTTCACGGTAATTATTCCACCTAATCGCTCGCAATCGTCGCGGACCATCGAGCGTGTATAAATTAAGGAAAAAGGCGGTAAGAAGCGTGTAGAAAGAAAGAAGAATCGAAGAAATTAATCCTCGGTGATCAATTCTACTCGGTTACTCTGGTCTCGATCGATTCAACTTTTCCAGATTTTCAGTTCTGTAATATACACGCGGAACTTTCTAATCGCGAGATTACGATACTCCCACGATATGAAATTTCATCTGATAAAAATCGGCAACTCTGTATCAAGCATGCGTTACACAAGCATTCAACTACCGCCAGATGCAAGTCATCAGATCCTCTCACTGTAAATGTCAGCGGACAAGATTCTTCTATTTTGCCATTGGAAGCTGCGATGCGTAATCGGTTTTGAAACAACGATTCAATTCCATAGAGTCCTGCAAACATTGTGCGATACCGTTAACCTTTACTTCATTTCTCAAGAGTGTTTAAAATCTGGGCGTCCATCTTGATCTTATATTGTAGATCAGATAGGTCTTATTTGTTGTCTCTAACAAGCTTCCGAAAGAAAAAAAAGCTTGCGCTTTATTGAGACGGACAGTGGAGCAGCGAGTAGCGTAGCCGATTACCACGCTGAGAGCTCAGGTTCGAATCCCGGCTGTTTCACTCCGGTTTTTCTTCATGGTTGGGTTAAACCCGGTTAACAAAGTATCGAAAAGTAGTCTATATATGGCATATATAAGGATAAGCAATGGAAAAAAATAAAAGGACAATCAAAAGAAAAAAGAAAAAAGAAAGAACTTGGTGTAAGATAAGTACGAGAAAAGTGCAAAAACACAAAGCCGAAGTCAAGTAGCTCTCAACATTCGCTTGTGATACAATAATTAAAAACTCGAACTCGATAGCTTTCAAAGCGTTTAATTAATGCAGTACCGTGGGAAAATTGTCCGGGACTCCTTCCTACCAGTAAATAAAGAATTAAATAGAGAGAGCAAACTAAATAAATAAAAGACGCGAGTACTGGGATTACCAGAGAGATCACCATGTTTAAGAGAAATTTGTAACACGGTCATAAAGGTCTGCCCTGTGCCCTTCGAGAAAAACACGATCTACTTAAAACCGTGGTCATATCTGCAGTTAGATCTCATCTGATGGTAACAATAGAAACTTACGTGCAACGGAATCGAGAGTTCCCTTCGTGTATGCAACCGTTCTCGTGGCCGAAAAGAGAACGAAGAGGAGGCCTGGGAGTCCGAAGCGCGTTGATAAGGCGCACAACGATAGGAAGTCGCGGCAACGAGCCGAAGAGGTGGTATAATAGGTGAACGCGTCTCTAATCCCCTTTTCTTCACGGAAATCGTCGAAAGTGTAACAGTAGGTTTCTCAGAGAGCGCCGGAGCGCCCTGTGGCAACTCAGATGAGGAGGATCGATCGCGAGAGACACCGGGGGTCATACAAGTTCAACGGAACAGTGAATCGGGGGTCGAGCGTGTTCATGGTGGAAGGAGGAATACTAGAGGGAACCATTGGACCAGGTACATTTGATTAGTCGGGTCAGTGCTCGTTTCGCTCGCCTGCTGCACACCGGAGCTATCCTATGGAAACAGGACTCCGAAAGACAGAGATTCTTCTACAGTGACAAGTGCTACTGCGACCAACGAAGAAAAATGCGACATATATTCGAAATAACTAAAACTACGTACGATTACACGATCTACGCAAATTGATATACAACAAATCAACCGAAGAATCAACTGAATCCGAGGAATCGATTGTTTAATCGAATCGTGATCTTTTTTAGTCGCGATCTGTAAGAATCTGAACGGAAAAATTTTAATTTAAACGCGCCAGAACATCGTTACGACATGTGAGACTTCAAAGCTAATTCGATGAACCGATTGTCCGTGATCCACGATCGACGAACCTCGATGGATCCTTCCGTCGATCATTCTGTACGAGGACTCTCAACTCGTACCATTTCGAACGAGTTCGGAACCATTCGTAGCTGATATGACATTAGAACTTATTCGATGAATCTCGAAAGGATATATCATTGGTCTAGGATGCCTCGTGCGAAACATCGATGGAGATTCTTCGTCTTGTCGCATGTGATACTCTTGACATTGTCTTGTTGCAATTCTCGTGGTATGTAACAGTATCGATCGCTAGCAATAAATTTCGTTAGGAAAAGATTATAATTACATAGATTTATAAACGAATACTTTGGAAATGTAGAATCGATTTAATACTTCCAAGGTGAAGCTCAGGTGACTGGGATCTGGACCCTGGAATTTCGATGCCAATTTTTATGGTTATTCTGGAGTAATGACTTCGTGAAAATTGAAATTTATTTATTTTTTTTTTTTATGATACCGATACAGTATGCAAATTTTAGAAGTAGAAATTATATTATCACGTTAGAAACATTAATGTAAATTTAATTTCAAGGGACTTTTAGTTCAAGTAGTTATATATCAAATAATAATACAAGTTATTTGTAATGGGTAATATAAAAACCTATTCGAATCGTCGATTGTTAAAATTTAAAATTTCTTCGGAAATAATATTAACGGTATTTCAAATTTCTACTTTTTAAAATAATTAAACAATTTAAAATAATTATAAACATTAATGTAAATTTAATTTCAAGGGACTTTTAGTTCAAGTAGTTACATTTGAAATAATAGAGAAAGGAGAATAAATAAACATGGTAAATGTGAATGTTTTAATTAGAAACAAAATTTCAATTTGACACAAATTCATTACTCCGAAACTAAGGCAAAAAAAATTGCCAAATCCCAGGGTGAGTCAGCCGAGCTTCCCCTTGTCAATAAAAGGATAACGAATACTTTGAAAATATCCTCGGAGAATGTAGAAATGGTTTCGGTAACAGATGAGCAATTCTTCGGTAGAAGTGTACCGCGTAGCACACTGCGAACGGAAGTGTGCCTCACTTTTGCAGATCACGGCGCAACCAGCGTGAAACGGGGAAATGTACGGTCGAAAAAACTGGAAGAGAATCGCGTTTTTAAATGAGATCGTCAAGATCGATTGTAGAAAAAGATGAGAATTTTGTACGGAAACTAAATTTTTACGGAATTAAATTTTTTACTTCGAAAAGATCCATTACGATTTTTAACCGACTTCGAAAAAGGAGATTACCCGGTTCTATGTGTATATTTTTTTTTTTTATTTCTGTTCAAGAAAATTATACGATCATGTTTACAGCTAGGAATACAGTAAGTGTCCCGAGGTTGATTAAAAGTAGCAGAGTGTATGAATTAAACAATGACGAGACATCCAATGAATGGCAGGAAGGAAATCTTCGCGTAGGGCGAAGTAGAGAACCATGGGATTCCGTGTCTATGGAAGAACAGAAGGAAAATGTATACATACGCGAGCTCCCATCTGTTAATTTTACGTACAACGAAACGAAGGGTAATCAGTTATTGTAAGTTCGGTATTCGTCGTAAAATTGGAACGAAGTCGACGTTTCGAAATTGGGTACAGAGATCTACTTTATTTTAGAACGCACAACGAAGCGACTTTATCTCATAAAAGGTTTAAAAGGGGTGTGATACATCTCTACAACATGGTAGTTTGTGCTACCGGATGCAATCCTTTAGCTTATAAAGGATACGGGTGTTACTGTGGTTTTCTGGGCTCTGGATACGTCATAGATGGGATAGATAGGTAGGTATTCATCAAGTTCCAGAGCAAAAATGTAGGTGATAAATATATTTCAGATCGGCTGGCTTTAGAAACGCAAATTAATTAATTTCAACTGCAACTTAATACCTTGTTGTAGGTGTTGCAAAATGCACGACTGGTGCTACGATGCTACTGATTGCCCAATGTTTTCAGAGTACTTTGTACCGTATTATTGGAGATGTTACCACGGTTATAAGCCCGTATGCGGTTCGTTTTAAATTGAATTTACTTTTCTTCGTTATTCGATCGATACCATAATTATTTATCTCCGTTCGCATTGTAGCCGTTGAACACGGGAATTGGGGGGGATCTGGATCGTGCGCTCAACGATTATGCGAATGCGATCGAACGTTCGCCGAATGTTTAAAACGCTACCCTTGCCCGACGACCAAAGCTGTATGCACCTCGTCGCCTTGGAGACTGGTACAAAATCTTTTTATGGTCATGTAATTACTGGCATGACGGAATCACGGAACAGTGGAATTGAGGATTGATTAACAAATGAATAGAGTTTTGTAAATATGCCAAAGACAACGACAGTACGTACTTCGATAAGTATCGTATAATCGAAGGTACAAAGTTCGCCTGTAACATTATAAAGCAGCAAGATATATATATATATATATATTTATATATCTATATGAAGATAATATTTCATTTTATTTTATCTCTAATATATCACTAGAAGATTAGGCACCTATCGAGGTATAAATTATGTATGTAATAAATTCTTTACACAGCATATAATACCATTCACACCTTTTCCCTCGCGATAGAATCATATTTACATTAATCGCGTTCCACGTTTTCCTTTCGATTATTTACAAATTACTTATGCCTCCTGTTAAATGTACAGCTCTGTTTTTATATCTCTTCGAAATATCTTGTTCTATCTGCAAATGTAAGAAAAAGGAAATATTGCAGAAGTGTTTACATGGCGGAACATATTTGAAAGATCATTGAAAATACCTGTGTTTGCAATTCCTTTGTCCTTTGGATAACAAGTTGTAAGAGAGGTCGAAGAGCATTGGCTTGTTCTTCCGCATCGTCTCTTTTCTGTCTCACGATCTTTTGCGAAGCTATCATTTTATCGATTAAGCTTAATTTTTGTTTCAACGACGCTACTAAAACATCCACGTATCTTGTAGAATGTTTAATGTTGTGCAGGTATTGAACTTTAGTATCCAAAATCTCGGACAATACAAGTTGAACGTTGTCTAACATAGTCTGTGTGCTCTCTAACGTGGAATGTTGCAAAATAGAGGATGAATCCGACAGTTGACTGAAGCTTAGGAAATTCACGCTATCGTTATCTTTCAGTTCGAACAAACGTAATTTAAAGAATGCTTCCAGCTGTAAACAAAATAGTACAATCTACAAAAGAATCTTACGAATACATTTTAAGAATACGATTAGAAATATACAGACTTCGAATAATTGGTTGATAAAATCGTTTCGGGTAGATGGATTATCGAGGACCGTGTACGCTTCGGTACCAGTGGCAGTTCCACCTTCGTGACCAGCTGCTTCCACAACTATACCAGATTCCTCCAAAGAAATATTGTAATCTATATTTTCCGCTGGGACTTCCACGTTTCCATCACCCCAATCGATTTCTTCTCCGGCGTCTAAATTAACATCGTCGCCCAAATTCGCGTCACCTTCGTTTAAACTGATTTCACCAAAATCAATTCCCTGTAATTTAAAACCTGTTAAACGAACATAATTAGTCGAAATACTTATCATCTGTAAGTATGTACGTACGCCGTTATCGATGTCTTCGTCTTTCTTCTTCTCCGAGTCATCGTTTTCGGAACATATATTTAAAGATGGCTCGGTAATCGATAATGGAGGTTCCCCATAAATCCATTGGTACGTGGTAGTGTTTCCTTTGTCTGAAAAATTTAGGATATATAGTAGAAGTGTATCATTGTTTCTAGATAAAAATTCAACCATCTCTATTTTAATTAGATTACGACATACCAATTACATGTTTTAACATTGGAACACAACCGCCGTCGTGTTGTCTACCCAAAGTGTAATTAACAAAACCGCAGTAAAACTCTACAGCTTTTTCTATCAATTTTACTTTTTTCCCAATTTTTTCATAAATCTCTGGAAGTTCTTTTATCTTCTCTGCTAATTCTTGCTTAATTTGGTGGCCCTGAATACCTAATTGCTTGCAGAGCAAATTAAACTCTGATCTGGCTGTATTCTCTGATTTTTTATATTCTGCTTCTTTCTTCGTTAATTCCTATAAATGTATAATATTATATTGTTTATGAAGCATCTATGAACTGAAGCAATTATGGGCAATGAATATTTAAAGTAAAGATGTACAGTTTGCAATTGCTCCAATTTTTGAATCTGTTTCTTGGTACTTGGAACCTCGTAATTAACGTTTCTTATAAGTATTTGTGCAATCTCTGCAAGGTACACGTTATCTTTCTCATATGCCCGTACTATTTCTTGCCAGTCTTTCATTCTCTGCGATCCATATCTTCCGAACACATTTTTTGTGTCTGCTTCAGTTTCTTTCAAAATTTCTATTATTTTCAAACAATGAAAGTAATTTATATCTACAAGGGTAAAAATAAATATAAGCCAAATAATAAACACGATAAAAATACAAAACACAATCCAACTTACAAGCGCCGGATAATAGTTTCGCTATCCCATTGTGTGCAGGCATGTCTTGTATCGCATTGTTAATTTTTTCTCTGATAACTAAAATGTTTGCATGCCAATCTTTGTTACAGTGCCGCCTACTGATTAGCCATTCCAATAACTTCCCAGTGTTTATGTCAATTGAAATATTTTGCTCCTAATTAAAACACAATAAAGTAAAAATTAATAATTGATAGTTTATTATTTTTAATGTAAAGAAATATTTACCTCCATGATACTAAACGTTCGTGACGTTTTGTTCTAATTTTCCTAACTGTTTTCTAATAGGTTATAACAGCTGGGAACAGCTGTTATTTTTTGCTTGTATGGTTAGAGCAGGTTTAAGCATTTTAAAGTGGATATAACGTTTTGGATACGATGCCGGCTGTCTTAGTCACACGTGTCTTACGTATTTCCGGAAAGACGGCATCGACTTTGATGACGAAATACCGTATTAAAATATGAATACGTATATAGATATGCATTTCAACTTTAAATTCATATGTACTATACGCAACAAAATTTTGTACAAAATATTATTAAAAATACGGGAACGTATATCATTTCCTACCTTTCAATAGTACGTTTTTTTAAGAAATCCCTCAGGGTCTGTAACTACATTTAATTGTAGTTACAGACGGGTGTAGCAATCCCGAGGTACCCGAGCTGAAGTTTATATTCGATATACAATATAACAAGTGGGATTCAGGAATTGGAAATAATTACAAAGAGCAATACGCGCATTTATTTTAATTTATTATGTTACATATGCACGAGTAAGAAAAATGTGTTTTCTATGACAATGCCTGTTACACTGTCAGTGCCGAAGTATAATTACAACTTAAGAGTTCACCATTGGAAGAGATATAACAGCCAGATTGTTTTCATGTTCTGTTATAACTCTGAGCAGATATCCATAAAAACCTTCTATCTTTCATATAACTTAATATTCAAACAATACACACATGAACGGGCATACACAGCATCCTCATACACATAAGTTTCTCTTATTAGAATATTCCATCTGTTAACAGAGTTGTACCGCCATGTCCGCAACGAAACAAGGGCGTAAGAAACAACTGGCCAATGTTAACATGGCACTGTGACTGCTAGAACTTTTGGAACATTACGTACAATGTTGTTTTGCACCACCCAAATGGATAATTTATTCTATCGCGGACCAAGAAAACATCGTTATTCGGTGGTAAACCACAGAATGTATTAAGGCTTCCTATCCGTGAAAAAAGTCTTTAAAACCATCACTTGGCCCACAGATACAAGTAACATTGTAAATGTTTCTATGGCAGACCATACGAGTACACGACCGTTCAAATCTTCCGCGCGTTTACGACCTTGCGCTTCTCTTAATCTATGATGAGTTTGATAATCTAGAATGTTGTTCAAATTCTTATGGACTTTCTCCGCGGAAGACTCCATCTGGAAGAAATATACATATCTCTCTATTCAAATATAAAATATAGAAATGTCGTACTTTCATAGCTCGTAGGGAATATCAGTTAATAAGACTATGCAATTAAAAGATACTTTACCTGAGTCATGACGGTAACATGGTCACCGAGACCTGCAAGTGGAAGTTGATCGCCCACTCGGAAATCCATGTAGACAAGTTTGTGTGAAAACGTTGAAAACTCGTTACTAAAACAAGCTTTATAAGCTCCAGTCACCGACGCTGTAAATTGATGCGAATCGAACTGCGTTTTTATTTGTCTATAAATGACCTCTTTATTCGGAGCTTCTAAAGTTACATCTACGTCGTATTGTCCACCCGTGACAACCTGCAAGACTCAAAATTAATTAGCTCATTCGATCCTGTATGACAGGTTATTAAAGTGCGAACGTGGCTAATGCTACTACGTCGTGGCAAATATTGTCTTCCGACCGCACAATATTGCGAAATTACTTTCATTTAAAGACGGACGATTTGCATACCTGAAACTCGAGCATGGCTGTTGCATTTTTTTCGATTTCCTGATAGAAACATTGTTTCGCATTGTCAGGCAGTTCGAAGGTTAGCTCAACGCCACCAGTTCGTAATATCGTACCGAACAACGAAACGAATAACAAACAGATCGACCAGTAGTCCATTCTTTATCAGTTCTTTGCCTACTACAGCCTATACACTATACCACGCACATTTAAATTCGAATGAATTTATAAATAACAATATTCCATTAATCAGCTCCGGCCAAAATTTCACCCAAACAAGCTATTTTAACGTGGCCGGAAATTACTCGCGTCATTACGATTGAAGCGCCGTATCACAGAGTAGAAACTCTTGTGTAAAGAGAAACCTGAAAAGCGTGCAAGTTTCCTTTCTATAAGAGTAGCTTTAGTTTATGGCCGTGTACACGAAACTGTAGGAAACTGATTAACGTTTGCGTCGCTCTTGCATTTTATTTGTTTATTTATTCATAACTATCAACGAGAATAGTTCTTCGCATCTTATACCCTTAGCTTATGATGCAGTAGCGTATTAACGTCCTAGAAATCGATAAATTTTATGCAATTCCAGTACCGATCGAAGCTGATTGATAAATCGACAAGTTTCATCACGTTTTTGACTTCGTATTATTAAGTACATGTGCTTACGAGTTAGACGAATGTTAAGCAGTTTCCTCTACGTGTACCGCATGACCCACGAAACCGGAAATGTATTTTATCGAGTACCGGTTAAATAGTTAACTAAGTTGTCGATTTTATAGCTTCATCGACTTTCGATAAATCCAGAATAAAAGATTTATATAATTTCATCAGACGAAATTGTACTCAA